GATCTTGTGCACAAGTATTTTTATTCTCACAGTTTCTTATAACACAATTTCTGAGGTAGGTATAAACTTTGCAAAACAATACATATTTCCTTTTCTTTGTAAAAAATAAAATAAAAAATTATATATATATAATCCTCTCAACTGCCTCATATCTCTTGGCATGTCTTGTCTGTCAGAAAAGAAAGCAAAGATTATATTAAAGTAAAAAAAAACAAATTTGTGTGGCAGAACTTATGTTCTTCCTCCCATTAAAGAACCAGTCTAGAGTTTTGTAACATCTAGCAGAAAAGTTGCAAATTGCAACGAACTAAACCAAAAAACAGCTGGGTTTCGTTGTTTTTTGACAACCTGGGAATGAGAACGGGCAGTGAAGCGTGTAGAAGAGACTACAGTGGTCTTGCGGCCACTGTAGTTTGAAACCGCACTAACCAAATAAACCCACCAGAGTTGATTTGAAGTTGAAGCTCCGGGTTCTCCTGATGTCTTCTGTCATCGTTGCCTTTATTTGGCTGCTCGTCCTGATGGCTCTGCTGCTCCTGGAGGACAGAAAATAGTTCACTGATGGTGTGGAGAAAATGATTAATTATTAAGAATTGTGCACTGTTTGCCCGTGTGTGTATGTGTGTGTGTGACGCTCTAACCTTCTGCTTCTCCTTCTGTGTGTCCACCCCGTACCGTCTCTCCAGCATCTCTCTGTCAAACACCACCCTCCTCTCTTCCTCCTCCTCCTCTTCTCTCCTCCTCGCCTCTTCTCGCTCCCTCTGCTGCCGCTTCTCCTCCAACTGAGCTTCAATCGCTCTCTGGAGGACAGACAGTAAAATATTTAGGAAGCTAAGTGATAAAACCTGTATTTCTGCTTCCTCGCCGTATTCCTCGTCTCTGTCCTCCTCCTACCTGCTGCTCCAGCTGTTTGAGCCTCCTCCTCTCTCGCTCTTCTATCTGGGCCGGGTCCAGCAGGGCGGTCATGGACCTCAGATAACTGAACAAAACACAGGAGAATAAAGAACATTTATTCATATAGTAAATACTGTACTTACATCCATCCATTTGATTGTTCAGAAACTCAAATACAGCATGAAGGATGATTGACAGCCCTCTTTTTTTGAAGAACAACTGAACCAATCAGAGCTTTGTAGGCGGGACTAAGAATCAGAGCCAGAAACACAGAAACAGTCAAAACCTTTTTTGTTTCATCGATCCATCGTACCTGGTTCTGGTCGGGTATCCGCTGGTTGTGTCCACGCTGGCTCCCCCGACGCTCTCTGCTCCACAGCTGCTCATGGCCTCCCAGACCAGGGACAGGCTGGACGAGGGCTCCCAGTCCCCTCGCTCGGAGCCATTAGACGGGGCTGGAGGTGGAGCTGATGGAGTGGCAGTCTGGACAGGAGGTCTTCTCTGCAGCGAGTCGAAGTGTGAGGCCCAGTGCTCGTGGTCCTCCGTCTGCAGAGACACGTTAGAAAATAAAACAACAGAGAAAACAGATCAACATGAACCGTTAATTGTGAATTACAGGATCTCTCCTGTCCTGGTTTCTATTGTGTCTCTACTGTACCTGGCTCAGGTTTCTACTGTACCTGTTGCTGCAACAGTTTCTCTCGTCTCCTGCGTTCAGTCGTCTCCTCTCTCTGTTGGTCCAGCTCCTCCAGCCAGCGTCTTTTCTGCTCCTCTTTCCTCTCGACACTCAGCACCTCTATCGGAGTGACCTCCTACAGAGAGAAACAGCTCAGGATTCTCAATTGTTTATGGAATTGAAGCAAAATAAACTACGGTGTGTGTGTTCACGGTAATAGAGGAATAGAGGAACGCGTCACTCAGAGCAACAGTGCGGCTCATTGATGTGTTTTTAATAACAACAGTGGAGCTCTATGGCACAGAGAAATAAGCTATATCATGCTGTGGATACACAGACAATTATTATATACAATCTTAGTAGATCAATTAATTGTTAGTTTGGGTCTTTTAATGGAATCGAGACTCATTTATTTTTGATTTGTGGACATGAAGAAAAATATATAAGATCAACAGACTTGATCCCTTGAAACAGCAATGTTTGAGGTACATGTGCAGCATAACCTACAAACTGTCTGACTTATTCTGGGGCGTGATGTGCAAAGAGGACAGTTATCTTTAATTACCACACAGGTTATTTTTCACCAGCCTGTATCTATTCATCTTTACGTGTCACTTAGTGCCGTTACATGCAAGGTTTTTAACATGCGAGTATATGCAGGGAAATACGTCAGAGAGGGATAGTATCACTGTGTCTGCAGTGTGGAGGGGTGAGAGAAAAGGGACTGTATCCATTTAGGCTTGATCACATGGATGAAGAATGAAACCAAAGTTGGAAAAGCTGCAAAAAAAATTTACTTTATAGGTTCAAACTTCTACCCGAGTCTGAGGCTTGGATCTGATGGCTGCAGGCATGTTTCTCTGTGCTAGATGGGCTCTGAACTGACTAACACACTCTCTGTGTCGTCCTCGGCCTGAAACCACACACACACCAAACACACCACACACCACACACACAACACACACACACACACACACCACACACACCAAAAAGATTGTGAAATATTTCATGAAAGGACATATGTTTCCAAATCTCTGGTAAACGTTGGATCTAATCTGATCAAATGGTCGTCTCGATTTTTTCTTCTCCAGTTGATGGTATTCATAAACGAACACTGTTCATCATTACTTGTGTCCACTGTTTTTGGGTTCAACCTTAGTTAAAATGACAAACCTGACATATTTAAAGGTCCATTGTGTAACATTTAGGAGGCTCTATTGGCAGGGATTAATATATATTAAATAGGTATGTTTCCATTTTATGTATAATAAGCACTGAACACTGGAGCCTTTAACTGAAATATACCAGTGACTGTGAGTGTATTTTCTTGTGTTTTGTTTTGCAACACGGACCTTCAGAATTTGCATATTGTTTTTTCCTACATAGGTGCCTGTTATGCATCGTAATGACTGATTTAAACAACTTTATGAAAGAGTCAAAGGTAATCAGCGTATCAGGTATCATTTCTAGTATCAGAATCAGTTTGCAGTTTCCTGGGTGGGAAAACAAGACTGCAACATCTCGTTACCACAGATGGTGATAATATCTGCCGTTACCTTGGAGTCTGCCAGGGGCGAGCGCTGCTGCTGCTTCCAGTGCCCAACTTGCTCATCCTAACCACACAACCCACACACACACACACCACACACACACCCAACACACACACAACCAGCACAACACACAGAAAGAGAAACACTAATTTAATTTTGTCACAATTACTAGCGGTGCCACTCATCCGTGTCCATATCCTGGATACTGCTCAATCCTCCCTCACTTGTCGGACTCTTCCTCCCACGAGAGAAGAGAGGACTTTTACATTTAAACAAAGGTTTGTGTTCATGTTGGGCTGTGGGTCGTATTTAGGATGATTTAGGATTTCAGAATGCTTTGTTGAGGGTTTGGAAACTAGTTAATTATGGTAGAAAATTAAAGGTATAAAACGTTATAGTTTGTGGGCTTTAAGCTGTATTTGAAACCCATAAAAACCTGCCTTCAAATCTCAAGTATTTCTCTTTAACATTAAATAATTGGGACTAAATAACTACATTCAGAGTTTAACAGCATCTTTAGGTGTTTTTATTAGTTTAGAGTGTGAGTGTTGTTTTATCAGATTTATATTTGACAAAACAACCCACCAACATGTTCATCAGGGCAGTTCAATGTGAAAACGATATTTTCCTCGATCGGTGTGCCACAGGCTTTGATGTATGTTTTCTCTTGTTTGGTGGGTGGGTCAGAGATCTTTTCTCAGATACAACAGTTAGTTTCAATGTGGCCACAAGCTCTACCTTTGTCTGTCCACCATTAAGTGCTGGGCAGGAAGTATATAGTGTTTTTTATAAGCATTAGTTTGCTGCCTGCTGCTGGTGGAAACACTGAGACTGAACCAAACAACAAATGTGCCATAAAAACTGAACTAGGAGCTAAAAGAGGCTTAAACACTTCATAAAGCTGGTGATAATTCTCAGTTTGCCATTATAATGAACATAAATATGCATCACTGGAGTTCTTAAATGCTTGTTAAGCGCGTATACCTAGTTCTCTCCTCCACTGAGCCTTCTTGGCATCGATGGCCGCTCTGCTGTCTGAGTGTCGCTCCTCCAGCCAGCTGAACAGACATCCGGACAACCTAAACAACAGCAGCAACACCATGCTTTAAACCAACCTTTTAGAAATATACATTTCAAAAAACACATCTTTTAGTGTGTTTATAATACAGTGAAGACATGAAGAAGTGGAATATAGATCTGGTCCTATTTAGAGTCAGTTTTACTGTATTTATGGTGATCTAAGAAGAGAAGCGTGACCTCCCTGAGAGGACATTAGAGTGTGTAAACTGTCATGGTCCTGCACATTTATTGTCAGCTAAAGTAATAAGTCTTCTTTATGGGACTGCATCCAGAAAAAAAGGATGTCTGCTGCCCAAACTAAAAAAGTCTGCTGAGGTTGGCCCCCTCACCTGTTGTCTTTATCCTGTGAGCTTCCACTTCTGTCAGTTCCTTCTCCTCCTTCTCCCCTCTTTATTTCTCCCCCTCCTCCTCTGTCTTCCTCCTTTCTCTTCCCTCTTCCTCCTTCATTCATCAAGGAGCCAGATTTCGGGTCTGCTGGATTTCCTAACAGAGAAAAAGACGTGATGCTGTACATTGTATTGACAAGGAGGGAAAGTCTAGTATCTGATAGCAATAGCTCAGTTCTCTCTGTGTTGTAGTCCGCTAACTGTCATTCATTCATTGTTACTGCACTACATCTACCCTGAGTCCTGTGGTCCTCTGGTGGGTCTTGGCCATTGCTGGTGGTTTGGATTGTGTTGAGGATCTGCTGAAGCTGCTCACTGGTCAGACACGCCACACTGTCCTTCAGTCCTGCGTTCCCACTGACCAACGCATCCTTTAGTCCCACCTTTCCACCAGCTCGTGTCCCACTGACAGGCTGTCCCGTTTTCCCATTGCCTCTCAAGGAGCCAACAGTAGTGCTGTGTTTGTGTCTGTCTGACTTCCCCTATAACACACACACACACACACACACAAAGAACATATGAATGTGTGCCTACGACTGGTATAACAAGACTGTGACCCCAGGTGGGAGATATAAAACAGGCCAGTTTGTGCACATGCCCCCACACAGTGCAAATAATGCAGCTATGAGAGAGGTGAGCCCATATTTAATATACATATGGGAGGAGGCTCATACTGGGGAAGCCTGCCAGGCCTTGGGGATATGTGTGTAACCCCTTTCACACATGCACAGCATTAATCGACGGAGCTCTTTGGGTATGTGAGAACGCAAATGACTAGACATTAAATGGACTTTACAGTGCCAACTCCCTGGTGCAAAGTCTGTGTAATGTTGGACTGAGCCCATGTGTGAATGGAGCAGGTTGTTGATGACGCTCCACGGAGTCTAGCTGCTTCATACTCTTTCCTGCTTGCTTGTGTATTCTTTCCACTCTTTCATTTCTATCAGATATGTCCAAATACATATTGCATTGATATAAACACACAAACAGTCATCTTTAAGATCTTCTATGTGCTGTAAACAAAACACTGCTATTACGTAACTGTGAAGTTAGTTAAGAAGTAAAGTTGTCAACAGAGCGAACTCTGAACTCTTCTGAGGAAGACAATGGGGATCAGTTTAAAAAAGCTTTTTTCCAACTTTTCTAACGAATGAATCTAGTGAAGCTAGATACAAATACATAGACAGACATACAGACACGGGTAGAAATAAATTATAAAACAAGTATTTTGTTAGTTAAACAAAATGGAATGAATGCAATTTCCTTTCAACTCAGAGAGGAAGTGGTTACTGTACTAAGCTGCTACACTGCTGAAGAAGGAAAGCCGAAGAGCAGGTCAGTGTTGCCCTGTTGGCAGTGAGTGGATAGGAGTGTGTCAGAGGACATATTCCTCCACAGTGACTGAGCAGCAGAGCTAATCTTTGCCTGGTGGGAACATTAGCTTTATTGTCAGCAGCCCTGTGTGAACAAGAGGAATGCCATGAAACTAAAGAGACTGAATTACCTGCTGCCTCCCAGAAACCGGAGCCCCTCATCACTGCCTAGGGCCTGTGCAAGTGTGTGTGTGTGTCTCACAATGCATTACCTCCCAGGCCCGTCTCAGTCTCAGATCAAACTGGCTTCTGTCTTGTTTTAGCCTCGGACATTGGTCTTAAATTCCCCGCTGTGGACAAATTGACTGAGACTGAGCTATGTCTCAGTGTGAGGCTGACCTATCAGAGACCCCTGGACAAGAGAAGTATCTCTGTCTGCTCATGTTGGACAATATAAGGAGCAGTTACAGTTTCACAGTACATCAGTCTTTCATTGTTTCTGCAGGATAAGCTGCTTAGCTTTGGGCCACCAGAACTGGTACCCAGCTCCGCACTCTGACTGGTCCATTTGAGGGCAAGAAGTGGCTTTATGCCCAGTCAGGTCCACTGCACCCTCTCAAGACCTTGGCCACAGATTCCCTGTCATCCATGGTTCACTGAGGAGGTGTCAGCAAGGGCTAGACCAATAAATTAGACATATTTTGGTTTCCAATTAAAGGTCCTATATCAGCCAATCACTGTTGGCCTCTTCACATATAATGCAGTTTTTTTTAGGTTAAATGTAAAGATATTTGATTTGATGGAAAACGTACCCAAACTGGGTGGACATAGTTGATTTAATTTGCGGCCAACTGCTGTATTCCGGACAACTACATGGTTATGATCATGGATGTATGCCAAATGTAGAGAAACAACTAGGTCCACCAAGCTTGAGTTCCATTGAGAATGTCTCCTTGAGAAAAATATCCTTTAACTTATTTGAAAACAATTCTTCGAACCAAGCACTGACTTAATTTTTTTAAAAGTTTATCTTGAGAATGGGCCAAGAGGAAGGTTCTGGGGGTCATTAAGATCAAAAGAGTTGATCCTCTGGGAAACATGAATGTTCTCTGTGAATATCATTGCAATCTGCCAGTTTGTGTGTGTGCTTAAATGGAGCAGACTAAACTGACCTTACAAACTGAGACATTGGGAAACTTATATAGTGGCTGATCAGGCCATTCTGACACACAAGGGGGATGGACTAAACATTTAACATTTAAACAAACTATAATAACCTACAAAACGTGAAGAAAACATTACCTAATTTTAACAAAGGAAAAATAATAAAACTATAGCACCAAAAGCATAATTGTTAAACAAAGAAACTCCCCATGATGCAGTAGAACATTTTGAGAAGGTCTGATTCAGCTGGAAGTCCTTTTGTTGAACAGCCAGATACCTCCACCAGCAACCCCCAGGGACATGCCCTAGTTCAGTGTGGCCCACAACAAGTAACTGGGTAATCCAGCCATCTGGTTGCCATGGCGCCGCCGCGAGTGGCAGCCCTTTCAGCAGCTCCGAGTGTGCAGTGATCTTTTTTGACTTTTTTGTTATTTTTATTGATGTTTGTTTTTGCTTTTTTATATTCACATTTGTGCCTTGTCACATCTGATCAACTTCTATCCAATAGATATGGATATTTATTTACCCAAAAACTTGTTTTATTTTGAGAAACCAACTTTTTCCACGCTGAAAGACAAAGTCTGGGCG